TGCTGGACAAAATCAAGACTATCAGGCTATTCAAGCGTGAGGAAAAAATAATCAACTGACATTATCTTTGTATTCTTTTTCTGCTAAAGTGCTATGGATACCAGCTAACAAAAGTTCTCTTGCTTTTACAGCCTTGAGCCCTCCCGTGACAGTCCAAAGGAGATGAGCTAATGGCATTAGGAAAATGTTAAAGGTGCATCATAATGAAACAGACAAATAAAGTCATCGGAACTTGCCCTTGTCAGAGATCCAACAATGTGACCGGAATTGTTCTACTTCCCGACAAGAACAGAAACGTACAGACTCTGCAGAGCATTCACCTGCCTGATCACAGAGGTAAGGGGACTGGAAAGCACTGGATCATCCTGGTCTGCAATCAAAGGCAACCGGATAATAAATGGTACGTATGAAAAGCTGTTTCTGACAGGCTGGAATGCTTTGAAACCCAAGAGCATCTCCATTGCAGGACAATCCCTCCCACGGCTCCTCTGTGCCCAGTTCCACAGCAGCAGGTCACCTCTGCAACCACTCATCTGCCAGAGCACAACACATCGCTGCCACCTACTTGGAAATTACAAAGGACCATACCACAGAGCTACAGGCTGTGGAGTCAAGCTGAATGATTAGATTTACAGACAGATTTATTAAAAAAATGCATATATATATATATTTATATAGAGAGACAGATTTATATCTCAGCCAAAAGGAAAGCAGACATTCCAGAAGCAACCACACACGTCTACAGCGGGTACCACAATCCACCGACCTCCAACATCACAAAAGCAAAGCTGGCCACAGCCTCATCAAGATATTGAGTGTGTCTGCTGGGAAACAAGCTGCATGACAAGGATTTTCTCATCCTGTGAAAGAAACGGTGGCGATAGGCCACCGATTATCATCTGCATTCCTGTCATTAGCTTGTTTGTGCTGCTTCTTCCATAGCTAATGCTGCCAGAGAAACTTCATTTGGGTCTCAGTCATTGCTACTGAAGGGCACGAGCTGGGATGTCAGCACCAGGAGTCTCTCCTTCAACTTTTTATACTCAGAGCTTTTCTTGAAATGTCTTGCAATTAGTTTCCTATGCAGAGCTGCTGCTATATTAGCCAATTTATATCACTGCATTAAATACAAATAAACTCATATTGTACAGTCTACGCCTCTTTACACTATTTGTTATTTAATCCTCCAGTACTGAGAAAATCTGTCGTCTCTCTGTGTGCTGGAAGAATTGAACATTTAGCCTCAAATACAGGAAAAAGTGGGGGAAAAAAAATGGAAAATTAATATTGATATACTACGTGGAAACACATACCATGTTTGAAACAGCTCTGAACGCTGTCTGTGGGATTCTCCTCTGTCCTTACAAATTCAATCCTGCTTTTTAATTTAAAGGTTGAATTGTACATGCAAGTTGTGCAAGATTTCAGGTCTCGGAGGCCAGAGTGGTTCTCATTTAGCACCAACCAAAAGAACTAACACAAACCACAATCTTACTGGTTTGGAAAACCACTGAGGTTCACCAGCTCCGACAACAGCATGTCAATACACAGCCCTATGGGCAACTGGCAGAATTTCATATTTTTTAAGCCATCTCCTCATGCATAATATGAATATTTATTCATCCTTCTCTGGCTGTTTGCCAGAGATTTATTTTAAGCTCCTTGGTTCTGGTGTAACAGATATTCTCCTCCACCCATCCTTGCCTACAGTGTCTTTGACACTATCGGCATCTCTCCTTGAGAGAGAAAGAAAATTAAAAAAGAAAAAAAAAAGAGAGAAGCTGCAATATTAATGGAAGAACACAGGAAGGTTAGAAAAAAAATGTCTTTTGACCTTCACAGTTTTTTACTCAGTGATGTAAGATGAGTTAGAAAAGAATATAAGCATATCTTTAGGTCAAAAAATTAATCGGCTGATAAATTGGTCTTTGTGTACACCACAAAACTGAGTTAAAATAAGGTATTCAGTCATATCTCCGTCAAAAGTTGCTGATGTTTAACTCGGGGCAGAGACTCAAGCATTTCAGTATGAAATACAGTGTTTTACACAGTTCATTTGGAGTTCAGAATAGTTTCTGCTTCTTTTATACTTTTTTATGGGATAGACTTTGAAATTGCATTTCTCAGTTTGCTGTTAATATCCACACCTTGGGCTTCAGAGTTTATTCTCTGCTTCATGCACATGTGTCGCTCCCATTAATGCTAATGGAATCGAGTTAAAACAGAGCACTGAGGGAGAAAAAAGCACTTGCAAATCCTTTATCACCTGACTGCAAAGAAAAGTGGTTTGTAAACCACATGAACCCAAAGATCAGGTACAATAGCTGCTGACTGTTGCGCTCGGAATTAAGGGCTGTTCCTTGGGTACAATGAGGAAGAAAGGATAGGCCATGAATTGCAGAAGCATGGCTCTTCAGTAACAGAAACAAAACACAGCCCTAAACACAGTCATCAGCGTGCGCTCACAGCCCAGAGCCAATAACCGTGTCCTGGGCTGCACCCAGAGCAGCGTGGGCAGCAGGTGGAGGGAGGGGATTCTGCCCCTCTGCTCCACTCTCCTGACACCCCACCTGCAGTGCTGCCTCCAGTGCTGGGGCCACCAACAGCACAAGGACATGGA